GTTCAGAATCAATGACGACCCCATCATTGTGCAATTTTATTCATCTATGACAAAAATTAAAAAGCTTCCTTTCCTGCAATAAGCACCATACCATATATCAGGTCAATTGTGCAAGACAAAACATGATAGCACAAAACTTTATTTCCCAATGTAACATGCTGAAGCACCTTCAATACATAAGCACATTCCGAATTGTTTGTTGACACGAACAAAATCAAGGAGAACCTCTGAAATTATTTTCAATATTGAACCTTGGACATATAAGAATTCCGAATTTGAATATCGTTGAAAAGAAGATCTTTTGTCTAATGGTAGCATGCTACAGTTACACAATACAACAGTATTAGCTGTAGTAATATACACCCTTCTTAGGAATGTGTGCATAATGCAGTGCCTCTAGCAGTCTTGAATCATTTTTCGCGATAATCTATTATAATTTGATGATTACTATCATAATCCTAATGTTGATACTTGATATCATTTAGAAATCATGGTCTACATATGATAATGTCACCCAGAGAAATTTAGTATCAGAAACACAAGGAAGTCAAAGATGATATGTCCATATGATTCCAGTTTTTCATTTACAAAAGCTAAGCTGCCCATTATGGCATCCATGAGCACAACGGGAAGCCCTTGATGTCCGTGATTCCCAATTTAGGCAAGTTATGACATACAATCATAGCTTCTAGGACACCTATTGAGGGAATGTTTACCGATTTCTTACAAAGCTTCCTTGTTCAAAATCATTTTTTATCTCTGACAAAAGAAAAACATTAGAATATCAGAATTGCAGGATTTTCTCACTAGGTTTTGCACGTAACCTTGACAAGGACAGATCAATCTGCATTCACTTTTCCAATTACTCTGGTGTCTGGATCTTTTTTAACATAATATCCAATCACCAGCCCAAAGAAAATATCACCAAACACTTCCAAGAAAATATCAGTAGACAAGTCCATTCAGCTAGGACTTACTCCAAATTAACTCTACTTGATTTTACAGCATACAGGAAGAAGAATCGACTGCATTTGCCATATGAAAAATCTAAATCAAGATGCAAACATCCAGCCAATTAAGTAACTGAATCCAGGTAGTGCTGCCATGTTCAAAAACTCCTAAGGTAAACAAAATTTTTCCAATGATATAAGATGGGATAGTTCAAAAATAACCCTAAAATTTCCAGTTAAACCATAATTTAGGAGCACTTGTGACATTGACACACCAGATCACAACAACAATCAAGTGACACAGGAAGTGCATCTATGAAATAGCGTTTAAATCCACTGGCAACTGAACAATAATCATCTTATCACAAACTCAAATCAATTAATTAACAACTAACTAAATTCAATCTGAAGGAATCTCAATGCATCACAACCTGAATTTCGGTAAATCGCAGATTGATTAGCCATAACACGATCATTCATCAGTCTAACATCATTCATGATCCATCCCAAAGCAAACAAATAAATAAATAAATAAAAGTGAACCGCTCTGGACTTCCCGAAGAAAAAAAAAGGTACCTGGCTGAACTTTAGGGCATGTTGCTCGCCAGCGAGCTGGAGGTTACCGGACACGAAAACAAGCACGCCGCCGGCGGGTCCCGACGGCTGGCAGTCGATGGTGGTGATCTGGTGGTGGCACTGCTGAAAGGGCAAGCCGGTGAGCTTGGCGACGATGTTCTGGGCTCCCATGATCTTCTCGCCCTCGAAGGTCAGCATCGAACCCTCCTGGTACAGATTTGCAAGCCCGGCCCGATTGGAATCGAACGTCGTGTAGTAGTGGGCGACGAACGCCTTCGACACAGCGTCTGTATCCATATCGACGACTACGAGCTCGGATTTGGTTCTCGCGTCGGGCTTTTTTTTGTGTTTATGAGATTTTTACACAGGTCAAATATTAATTTCTATAATAATTGTGCTGAAAAAATACGCCAATTAATGGGGTCTCAATTCTCATCCACGTGGGACCCTATCCACATGAAATGTTCTAGAAGTTCAATTGAGGGCATTTTTTTTTCTAAATCTCTGGTTTCTTTAAATCTGGGCCGGGCCTAATCAAAATACAAATATCTGACATGCGAACTTATGTTGGGCCCAAAGATATCTGAAGCTTTGCCAAAATGTCACAATTTGTTCTGGTTTTATCCAAATAATGTCGGGCTATGTTGAGATATGGTTGGTCCTATTTTGGGCTGGGTTTGTGTGTGCTCAATGTGCCTAATACTAGAAAATTTTGTTAAGAAAATTGTTCTTTTCACTCTTAAATCCTTATCTATGTGCTTTTATTAATAGTAAATATACAAACTTGTACGGTTTATAAATTATTGATTTGTAGTTTATTTTTGTCATTGGCTTCTAAATGCAATTGTCTCTTGATTTATGACTTTGTTTATGAATGACTTATGTATGTTTCATTTGAATGTTATATTTTAAAAAAATATACTAAATATATAAAATGGTCAGTTGCGATCAGTGAATGGTGGACCAGAATTTGACACTAAATATGAAATAGACATTTAGTCAGTGGGAAGATTCGACCCTAACTGCCAACACCAATGTTTAAGTCATTAGATCACACATTTGCACATGTATCTATATAGGTGTGTGTTGATCCCACAGTTAAAATTTCATGTGATCACTGTTCATTACCAAATGTTCACACAACAAATTCAACCACAAGTCAATGTCATCTTACTATAATAGTTTAGGGTAGGAAAAATAAAAATAACACAAGAGTTCAACCAATTAAATGCCACGAAAAATACAAATCAAAATTTTAGACATAACAGCTGTCTTAATTGCGTATAGGAAAAACGCTGTTTAGCTATTATCTCTTTACTTGCCATCAAGGTTTTAAATTGCTGGCGTCGGCCCACCACATATAAACTGTTTTAGGGATTATTATGTGATCGAAAACTATGTTATCCACGATAATCATCACGATTTTTTTTAATTTTCTTGCAATCTTATTTTAAGCTTATAATAAAATCAAAATACAATATTTCTGGTCAGTTCATTCATAATTGTGCGATCATCATATTTAATTATTTAAAAGACAATTGAATCTCAGTGGCCACCCATCATTTATCAGTTTAGTCGTATATGGATTATATAAGTATTGGTTTGTTTTGTTTGTATTTCACAAATTTTTGTGAAGGCCAACCCAACCATTGCTCCTTGACTATGAAATATCATACTTTTGTTAGTATTACTTTTCAGAGTAGGTCATTTCAATATAAAAGTAAACATAATATGTTAAAAAAAATATTACAGCATAACAGTTGATTCTGTCTAATGATTTATTTTGTTAGTACTCCAAAAATGAGATCGTTTACCAATTCAGTACTTTATATTGACTATTGTTTAGTATAACGTTAAAAAGTTGAAGCATAAGCACTCACAATCGATAGGTTGAATTAAATTTCAACTATAGTCACAAATCTCCTCGTCCAAAAAAAAAAAAAAAATCTTTGAAGTAGTAAAGACTTACATTTAACAATAAAAGTTAGAAATAAGCATCACCTTATAAGGTTTATGTAATTTGGGTTGTTGATTTAGTCAATCTAAATTGTTGATAATATACATGTATTGTTCAAGCCAAGTAAAGACAAATGATATGTATTTATGCAGCAATTTAGGTCCATGCGTTGTGTTATTTGATAAGAACCAAAGATAAGCGATGGGTAAGCAGCCAAAAAGGCATACATAAGTGATAAGTCAAAAATGGGCAAGTATTTGAATAAGTTAATATAGCTTTTGATAGTTATATAATTATATTTATATAAATGGCCTTTTGAGGTAGGGAGGGCCATATTTATCATTTACTGTTTTTTTAATTATTTCTTTGCAATTTATAATGCTATTTTGATTTTTAAATTTCATACAATCATATCACACTAACATGAATTTGAGTATATGAATGGTGTGATCTAATGATAATCTCACGGGCAATATCTACGCATATAACATCGAACTTGTTAAGAAGTTGAACTCCATTTTATTGATCAACATAATGCAAATGGTCCACAAATTTTATTATTTATTCATTCCTTTTTATCCATCAAATACATTTTCTGTATCAAATTCATCTTTTGTGCCTAGATGAAAATTCAAACTATAAGAAGTTAAGAACCAGTGGGAATTGAATAGGAATTACTTAGACAACATTTTTACCTCGATGGTGACCATTGTGATTAAATTGTGGTAAAATGCAAAATGAAATTAAACTTTCATCCTTTAATAATTGGCTATTTTTAATAATTGTTGTTGCTGAAAGGAAAGTGATTGGATTGGGACATGTAAAAGTGGACAGCCAATGTTTTGTCCAGCTGCATCAAATTTCCACCTTGCTCAAATTCTACACGTCTTTTTATTTTGGGTAATGAAGCCAAGCCCACTTAGATGACAATTTAAGTGTAAATATATTATTTTTTAGTTTTTTTTGATAAAACATTTACCACCACAAGAATTATCAATTCATGTACAATCAACTGTTCATAATAGTTTGCAACTATGTTATCCAAACAAATTTGATTTCTCACTATAAAATATGATAAAAGTAAAATCAAACCCTGACAAAAAGAACTGTCAAATGTTTTTACTAGTAATTATGTTATTTTGAGTTTGTTTTTCTAACACAAGTAATTTATGAGTATGTTGTTTGTTACACATAGTATATTTGTGTGTATTGCACTGCACAAAAGGAGGGCTTATGTTAGCTCTTTTAATACTGGACATCATATAATTTTCTCAATCTAAGTAGATAATTTCATATTTAAATGTCATATTTTAAAATAAAATTTAATAATTAGACAACTAACAAAAGCGCTTGTGCCATGACAAAATACAAATTACATTATTTTTAAAATCATAAATTTTTGTGTGGGGCAATTTAATTACTTGACATAAATTTTAAACAAAATTACATATTTGTGCTATGAAATATCATACTTTTATTTATATCTTAAATTATAACGTTAATATGCATTGTTGAAAAAAATTGTTATGTGCATAACGTTTCAGCATGAATATAGACTTTCCATTATTTTTTTGTTGATTTATGGAAATTATAGATTTTTTTTCTTCTTGTTAATTCATGCCCCCTTTGTTTCTTTCTCTGTGTCTCCTCTCTTTCCAGAACAGAAATTAGCTGTTTAATGTCACGTGATATAAACCATATCCCTCATCAGGGGACACTCATCATCGATCTTCTTCATTACAATTTCAACTCCAAAAGAACAACACAAAAGGAGCTTTCACCCGGGGGAAATTACAGTACACCAACACGGACCACACCCAAAAAAAAACCAAAAAATATATATAAAAAAAAAGAACCCAATATTTAAACATCAAGAACAAATTGTTTTCATTACCCACCAAATAAAATAGTTGAAGAACTTGAAAAACAACATGGGTTGTTTAACCGAGAACCTCTCTTCATTTTTCAGCAATAGATGGCTGGTTTTCGTGGCTGCAATGTGGATACAGTCTTGTGCTGGGATTGGGTACTTATTCGGTAGTATTTCCCCCACGATCAAGAGCTCCTTGAACTACAATCAGAGGCAGGTGGCCCGATTGGGCGTGGCTAAAGATTTAGGTGACAGCGTGGGGTTTTTAGCCGGTGGGTTATCTGAGATTTTGCCCTTGTGGGGTGCTATTCTCGTTGGTGCTTTACAGAATTTTGTTGGGTATGGTTGGGTTTGGCTTGTCGTCACTGGTAGAGTTCCTGTTTTACCGCTGTGGGCTGTGAGTATTGTTCCAATTTATTTATTTATTTTTTTTAAAGTGATTTTAGTTGGGTGCTGATTTTGAAGCTCTTGGGTTGTTTGAGTTGAGACCATCTTGTTAGTTGCTATTTCTTGTTAAGTGTTTAATTTTCTTTTTAGAGCCTTTATTTAATGTCTTACATTCTTAATAAATCAGCTGGGGTTCTTAATTGTTGATCTCTTTTGCTATTTTTTCTCTCTTTGAAATAATTCATTTTGCTGTTTTGGATCATGTGTGTGTGGGTGTGTTCTTTCTGGTTGGATTCATCTTTAGTGTTTGATCTTATACTATCCGGGATCCGATTCCTTTTTAGCTCTTTAAAAGGTGATTCACTAATTTTTCAGTTTTTGAGTTATTATGTTTTTCTAGTCAATAGTCATGAGCTGGTTTGAAGTTGAAGTTGGTATTCTTGCAGTTTGTGGATTTTGTCACTCTTGCATTTTCCTCATTTTCATTGCTGGAAACATTTTTTCCTGTAAAAATCCCTTCATATCTTCAGACGTTCTCCAAAAACTAATGCCATTTTTTCAAGTTTCTGAATGGGAACATATTCGATCAGCACAGATATGTAAAAATCCCTTCATATCTTCAGATGTTTGGATAATTTCATTCCCATTACTAATCTTTTTGCCAGCACAATTAAATTCAAAAAAATTTCAAACATTATTAACCAATTTCACCCTTTTTTTTTTTCATCCCCAGATGTGCATTCTTATCTTCGTGGGAACAAACGGCGAGACATACTTCAACACGGCTGCATTAGTTTCATGCGTGCAGAACTTCCCTCGAAGCCGTGGGCCCGTTGTGGGCATCCTAAAGGGCTTTGCCGGATTAAGTGGCGCTATCTTAACCCAAATCTATGCACTAATCAACTCCCCTGACCAAGCTTCACTCCTATTCATGGTGGCCGTGGGGCCCACAATGGTCGCCATTTCCCTCATGTTCATCGTTCGGCCAGTTGGCGGCCACAGGCAGATAAGATCCTCAGATGGCTTCAGCTTCTCGATTATCTACAGCATTTGCCTTCTTTTAGCTGCTTATTTGATGGGTGTCATGCTCGTGGAGGATCTAATCGACTTGAGCCAAAATGTCATTACTATATTCACACTAGTTCTGTTCGTACTCGTGCTGATTCCCATTTTTGTCCCCGTCACGTTGACTTTTTTCTCGCGCGAGCCGACTTCGACATTAGACGAGTCACTTTTGCCCGACTCGCTGAAGCAAGAAGAAAATCAGGATATAATATTTAGCGAGACTGAGGAGGAGAAGCCCAAGGAGATGGATTTGCTCCCGGCTTTAGAGAGGCAGAAGAGAATTGCGCAGCTTCAGACGAGGTTAGCTCAGGCTGCAGCTGAAGGTGCGGTTAGAATCAAGAAACGTAGGCCCCACAGAGGGGAGGATTTTACGATGATGGAAGCATTGATAAAGGCCGATTTGTGGCTCATTTTCTTTTCGCTTCTGTTGGGTTCAGGCTCGGGATTGACCGTGATCGATAATTTGGGGCAGATGAGTCAGTCGTTGGGGTATGATAACACGCATGTGTTTGTTTCCATGATCAGCATTTGGAACTTTCTTGGCCGAGTTGGTGGAGGCTACGTCTCGGAGAAAATCGTCCGGTATAAATTTTTTGAAAATTTGTGAAACATTTTTCGGAGTAATTTTTTGTCAGGTTTTGGCTGGAAAAGAAGGATAATTTCCAGGACTAGTTATGCTATTTGATTTCAAAAATGGTCTATTAGAATTCTATTTCTATTATATTTTTCTGATTTCTGTTATATCACAATATATAAGAACAGTAAAGAAGTAGCATTCTTATTGAGACTAGAACAATATATAAGAACAGTAAACTAGAACAATATATAAGAACAGTAAAGAAGTAGCATTCTTATTGAGACTAGAACTCGTAGGGAAGAAAATCGATTTATCGATAGAATAAAAAATGCAGTATTTACAGACAATGTAGACCTGAGGTTTGTGGCGATTACAGAAAAAAACCCATGAAAGTTTCTGAATTACTAGAAAAGTTGAAATCATCCCTTAAATACATTTGAGTGGTAGCTGCAATATCTTTATGATCTTTGAGTTGTATTTGGTAAAGATGAAGTTCCCATGGACTATTCTATAACTACTTGTTACTTCAGAGGTAGTTTTTGTGGTTGTCCAAAAAATAAAACGAGAGGAAAGTTTTCCCTTCTTTCAAATGACTAAATGTGCTTTTTAGTCTGTTAAATCATTTTCCCTTTAAAGAATATATAACTTTTTGCGCCGATATCCTATTTAACTCCATTTGTTTTTCTCCCAAAAAAAAAAACCACATTCTTTACATACAGGGACTATGCATATCCAAGGCCTGTGGCCATGGCCACTGCCCAAGGCATAATGGCTATCGGGCATTTCTTCTTCGCCATGGGCTGGCCGGGGGCCATGTACGTGGGCACTCTTCTCGTCGGGCTCGGTTATGGGGCCCATTGGGCTATAGTTCCCGCTACTGCCTCCGAGCTGTTTGGCTTGAAAAAATTCGGGGCTTTGTACAATTTTCTGACTCTAGCTAACCCAGCTGGATCTTTAGTTTTCTCAGGCCTTATAGCCAGCAGCATATACGACCGAGAGGCTGAAAAGCAAGCTCGTGGGCATAATCAGTTACAACGCAGTTTGTTATCTTCGTTTTCGAGTTTCGTTCGTCTCGACGAGCCTTTAAAGTGCGATGGCGCGATTTGCTTCTTTTTAACGTCCTTGATTATGTCGGGCTTTTGTATAGTTGCGGTTGTTTTGAGCATGATTCTCGTGTACCGGACAAAGCCTGTCTATGCTCACCTCTATGGTGGGTCCCGCAGGTAAGTCGAGTCGGGACAATGTTGAATGAGGAAAGTGGGCTGTGTGTGTGTGTGTGTGTTTCTGGAATTTGGTTCGAGTTCGAGGTTGATATTTTTGGCTGTTTTGTATCGATATGACATTGTGGGAAAGCAGTAAGAGTTGATGATGAAGGCCGTGTTCGCGCTCTAGACAATGTGATTTTTCAAGTTTTGACTGGAAATATATGCATTTCCAGCTAGAATGAAAGAATAACTCTCTTTTTGAAGAAGGAGAAGTGGTTTGGAAATACTCCATTGATCTACAGATGGAGGACTGCAGCATTTTGTCCTGGATAATTTTTATACAGTATGTACAGGGTTGAGTGAGTGTATGTTGTTTGTCTGTGTTTTTTATTGAATTCTTTGAATATGTTTTGTAATAATCATTGTGGTGGTTTAATAGCTACTTACTATTTTTCTTCTTTGGATACTATTTTTTTGGTGGAACTTTGAAGTTTGAACGTAGGAAGAGGCCTTTTTCCTACTATCCTACAGTTTTCTGCTGAGATTACTGACCATGTTTGCAATATATCAGAATATTGACTACCCATTTGATAAATTTCATTTCATGAGAATTTTAATTTCAATAGACAAATTGCCATTCAATAATGTTGTCAAGCATCATAAGTTCATAACTCAGTGAGAATCCTAATAACAGGTAAACAAAGCCATTTTTGGTTAACTGCTTGGGCAATAGGCATTCTAGATTTGAGGAGGACCAACATTGAGTGAAACTTCAACTGAGAAAAGATCAACATACACCAAAAAGAAAAAAGAAAAAACAAAATATGAACTGGTCAAGTCAAGGCAGTAATAAATCACGATTACAACAGTCGAAAGCAATAAAACGCCCCTTTTATATAGCGTGGCTAGCAAGCAAGGCTATCCTCATAGGCTTCAGATGCTGAAGCAAGCACCAATTGTGGTTCATATTCGATGCCTTCTCTTCTTGCCCTTCTTCTTTCACGTTGCAGCCTGAAGGACTCCCTTTTGCGTGCTCTATAGCTGTTGGGATTTTCAGGTTGCACTTCTCGTGGATAAACACTTACCTGTGTGTGTTTTAGTATGTTTTGAGTTATCAAGATTTCGAGGTTTTCATTATTCGTGGACTGGAATGTGAAAAGAGTCGGGTTTACCTTTTTCTTATCAGGTCCAAACTTTTCGAACTTGACGAGCCCGTCTATCAAGGAGAAAATAGTGTAATCCCTGCCGAGCCCTACATTTTTCCCTGGATGAAACTGCATATTTTATGGGGGGAAAAACAGAATCAACAGAAATGAGACTAGTTTTGAGTCAAAAAACGAAAAAAGCACAAATTTAACTTGCAATACACACGTCCTTGGACTTAATATGGTGGGAGATGTTTTAGATAGCTTCTACAAAGTTTCATTATAATGATAAAGTTTGATGCATCATGTATGTGAAATTGTGAATAAAGTTGATACTTTCAACTAGCAATTGTAAGGACAAAGGTAATTCACAAGAGAAATTGATATGAGATAGCAGGTGAAGGTTCAAAGCAAAATGTAAGAAGAATCCTGATCACAGTCATTGCAATGACATGGCTCCCCTCACTCTCATTGTAATGACACGACCTTCTAGCATCTCCATTCGACTTCGGGGAAAATTTACAATTGCAAAGGGAATGAAAAAAATAATAGCAAGAAAACAGAAAAGAGAAAGAGGAGGGGATAAACAAAAAAAAATATAATAAATAAATAAATAAAACATAAGAAGCCCCCTATTCCAGCTTAACCAGTACAATCATACAAATAATCAAAATAAATATATGAAACGAAAATTAGCGTTTGTGTTTGTCTTTGTCTTATAGATTATAAACTGACAACTACAATGCCAGTTTTCTTACAAATACGAACTACCGTGTATTTCAATCTACCAATTCATCAGGTTTTTTACAATTGAATCAACACTTACTCGTGAGGTTACCTTAATCTTACATCTTTTTGATGAGTGCAATAACCAAGCATCGAGTTGCAAACACAGTAACAAGGGAATATTCAGCCGGATGTTTAAGTACCAAATGAAGCACAAAGAGATACTCTACAAAAGAATGATGACCATTCACTAATGAAGGAACTATTTGAATACTATATTCAACCACAGAATGAGTGTGTCAAGCGATTTTCTAACCACAATGAACCACGTCAAAACCTTTATGCACACACACACAGCTAGCAAAATCCTCTTTGCTCCACGAATATCAAAGGCCCAAACACGGGGAAAATAAATAAAATAACAAAATGACACAGAAATTTGTGTTTGGACCTTGGTGCCACGTTGGCGGACGATAATGGAGCCGGCCTTCGCGGCTTGGTCGCCGAAGATCTTGACCCCAAGCCGCTGCCCCTGAGAGTCACGGCCGTTCTTAGTGCTACCAGCTCCTTTCTTGTGCGCCGCCAAAATCGTCAGCCGCGGCTTGATCGGGAACGAAACGGTGACGTTTTGGCTGATGTGAATCGAACCGAAGTCGCTTCCGAGGAAGGACGACGAGGAGCTGGAACCAACGGAAAGGCCTTTGAACGCGCTCACTAGATTGAAACTCAAACTCATGGCGGCCATAGTTACCAGCCGAAAAACTCCCGTTAAAAATGAACTGATTGTTTTGTTGGGGGAGAGCAGAGAATGGTGTAGAATAGAAGCCTTATCGGCAGTTTTATCTGTGGAGCCTGTGAGCTCGTCGTAGTTGATTGCTACCCTAGCACGGGTAAATTTTGAAAGAAAAAAAAAATAATATAATAATAATAAAAAAAAAAAAAAAATTGACTGTGGAGTGTGGGATTCGAACCCACGCCCTTTCGGACCAGAACCTTAATCTGGCGCCTTAGACCAACTCGGCCAACTCCACTTGTTGGTAATGATTCCATTAGAATTATTAAAGTATGAAAAACATGAAAAATGCTATGGAGCAAACCACCAATATTATGGTGTCATGTAGGCCATGTGAAAAAATAATTAACTCCACATGAACACCATAACATTGGTGGTTGACTCCATAAAGGAGCCAACCATTGGCTTATAGCATTTCTTTGAGAAACATCACATAATTGTTCATTAATGTCTAAAATAATTAAATATAATGTTTTAATTATTTCAAAAAATATCGTAGATTGCAGAAAATAAGTAATTTTTTCTTGACTGGGCAAGTTAAAATTTTACACAAAATAACTATTATTTGGTTTAGTTAGTTGTTGACCAATTTGAGCAACCAATTTAATTCAAACCGATTCTTAGAACCATGACAAAAGTTCCTACACAAATTCTTTTCTTAGAAGTTAGAAACATGAAAGGTACACAGATTCCCGTGTGAGTCCACCTAAACGAATCAACGAAAAAATGCATAATTATAATGTGAAATATCATTCTTTTGTTTATATTATTTGTCAGAATGTGACATTGCAATTACTGTTATGGCATGATTGGTAGGAAGGAATGACATGAGAATGGAATTATCATTCCCTTACTCATTCTTTATTCCATGATTGGTATATTTTTTTAGAAGGAATGACAATTCCAATGGGAATGACAAAACTCATCTCCATGGAATTAGTCATTCCATAGTAAATGGAAAGTTTTCTCATTCTCATGTGTGTAGGAATCAATTTTTCAAAAAATATAATTAACAAATAATAATAAAAAATAAATATATAATATATATTATAAATCATGATTAAAATATATTAAATAAAATTATTATTTTTTTAAAATAAAATAAAAAAATTGAAAACTTACTTTTTATTTATTTTTCAATTAGATATATTAAATACTTATATAAAAATAAAACTAAAAATAGCATTTATATATAATTAAAAAATATATTATTTTATTTTTATATATTATTAAAAATATATTATTTTTTATATATTAAAAATATATTTTTTTATTATATTATTAAAAAATATAATTTTTTATTAAAAATATATTATTTTTTATATATCAAAAATATATTATTTTAAAAATATATTATTAAAAATATATTATTGAAAAATATTAAAAATATATATTATTAAAAATATATTACTTTTTATTTTTAAATATTATTAAAAATATATTATTTTAAAAAATTAAAATTAAAAAAAAAATTGAAAACTTACTTTTATTTACCGTTTAATTAAAAAATAAAATATATATTATTAAAAATATATTACTTTTTATTTTTAAATATTATTAAAAATATATTATTTTATTTTTATATATTATTAAAAAGCATTTATATATATTTATTAAAAGTATAGTATTTTTTTTAAAAAACATTTATTTATTTTTATAATAAAAAATGATAATTTCATTCCCTTCCTATTCCTTCTGCCTACCAAACACATCAATGACAAAACATGTTTCATTCCATTCTCATAATCATTTCATTCTTCAATTCATTCTATTCCTACGAAATTTCACTCCATCATACCAATAATGTCATTAGAGTATAACATTTCAATTTGAATGTATACATATATCTTGAAAATGTATGAGCCACCTACTTTTTGGTCGGCTTAACAGTGTACTTATTGTCACTGAATGTCATACATTCTCAAATCTCAACACTTCTACAAATAACATACAGTGGCCAGTGACCAGTCATGTGATTCTAGCTTTGGTAGCAGATGGCCTCATTTCATTTAGAACACTTTGACGGTCACCTCCACAAATGTACACAATAAAATTACAGATAATCAAATTCTCATTCATAATGTTCGGAAGAAACAAACGCTAAATTGACTGGAAGCCGGGCGAGACCCTTCTTCTCACAATATCCTGGATTTGTTGGACAGACAAAAGTGATGCCTCGGGTTGAAAGTTCGTGTTCTCCATCTGTTGGTGGATCTGCATAAATACAAGGTAGCTCATTACATGTACGGATTTGTAGATATTAAAAAAAAAAAAAAATGAGCTTTCCTAAGACAAAAGACAATAGTATATATGTCCGTTTTAGTTCTCGAAGAGTAATAAGTACCAGGGCAATGTCAGAACATATACTTCGATATTGCACCCTAACTTAAGGCAGATGGTGGATATGATTTCACCAGTACAGAAAAGGCACAAGTAAAATTCTAAATACAAAACCTTCTCGATGATTGCAGACTGATCATCCATGTTGAAGTGGCGCATGTGCTTCAGCATCTCCAATTGCTGCAAATATGTTATTATCAGTTGTTTTTTAATAAAGTAGATTGATTGAATAACTCACAAAGAATTACCTGTTCCTCTAAATACTGCTGCATTTCCATTTTTTCTGCAAATTTTTCTGGCCCAAGCTCTGCTTCTTCACATGCTATCTCCTCTCTTTCAAGCCAACAAAAATAATACAAAGATTATAAGTTATCTTTCTCAAATTGGGTTGATCTATTGCCATATTCCGAAGTATAGGACATCACTGCAACACAACTGAAAGGTATTGGAATAAGGAACATAGTGTCCCAATTCAACTATGTCATGTTAATCAATTATCTACTTGTTTTTAATCACTAATCTCATCTATCAACGGGTATGAACAGACACGAAAATCATTTCAGTAATTACCTAAACAATCAGTTCAATAATCACTCATAATTCACAATAGGAAGTATTGGAATAATTATAGATCCACAAACCAATAAATGAATTGCAGTACTTAAGTTTACCAACAATCATACTGAACAGAAGCCCTTGAAAGGACATTTTACAGCACATAACCGTAAATGACCAGCAAAAATATGAACACTTACTGTGCTACAAAAGCGTAAAATCGAATCATCAAATCTTGGTCGTTCTCATAAGACATGTTTACTTTTCCCAAGCACGCCAAACCGAATTGTGGATCTGCAATAGAGATGTGAAGTTTTCACAATTACCCACAGTAGCAAATACTACTCGGTGATGATATGAGATACCCTTTTTTTCCATTGGGATCATTAAATTTATTCATAACTTTTGTGACTGAATTTGAATTGAGTTTCACAATCCATCAGCAACCAAAACTTGTATGTTAACTTTTAAAGGAACATCGCAGCTACCAGTCAAATAAATCGGTTCCTGACAAATCTTTTTATCATGCAAAATACATTCTCAGCCGCGTATCAACAAATTGAAGATTAAAAAGGAAAGAGAGCAATCAATTTAGGCATTAAAAAAATTTATAAACCAGTAAAATGGCTTTCCTCAAAATTCATTGCCTAATTTTGGTCAATTTGTACAGAAAAATTCCGAAAGAAACTACTCACCAACTCCCATCTCTGAAAATATCTCTTCTTGGATTGCAGTTGTTACTGCTACAGCTTCCTGCATTCATATATGTCCATAACTAACAGTACAAAAATAGTCCAATCGAGATGAAATATTGCTTAGAGAAACAACACATAAAAATTTATAGATTATAGAACAAGAGGCGACTATATCGTACTTAGAAAGTTAGATACGACAGCAGCCAAGAACTCATCAATCATAAACTCAGTTACATCATACTAACTAGATGAAAAACACTTAAGAGGTATTCTCTATCACTATGTATCTATCTGTACTTACATTAGAAACTCAGTTTCACAAAATCTGCCTACCGACAGGATAACGAGCATTATAGTTTTGGATTGGAACTTCACAAAGCAGAATCATAGCAATAATCGAGCTGCAATAGATCAATTCAACTACCCGAGCTCGTGATTAGCAGCGGGTAACTAAAATTGCAAATAATTTTACCTGCCTGTCGTTGACGGCATCAGAAATACGTTGCTTCACCTCTGAAAACATTCGACAAGACAAAAAAAATTGCAAAACAAAAATGAAACCTAAAATTAAAAAGCGAAACAAAAAATGAATTTAAGGTTTCATGGTTGAAGTAAATTGTTACGCGGAAAGATAAAAAAATACCAGGTTGCGAGGTCAGGGAGGCGAATCGATCAAAGAGATGAAGCAGTTGATCTCTTGTGAGCATGCCGGAATTCTGATACGCCATGGCAGAGCCTTAATTTTTAGCTCCACTCAATGAAAATTGCTCAGGCCACTTCTTGTCAAATGACAGACAATTTCAAATAAAAACAAAAATGGGGAAATTCTGTGATCAAGACTTTGACTTTTTGTTATAAGACTTGAATTTTAAACTTTTTTATTTGAAGATTTTAATTTTTAATTGTTCCCAATATAAAGTCTATTTTTACATATAATATAATTATGTAAATCATAATAATCTTTTTTTAAAAAAAATTTATATTTTTTAAATAATTAGAAATATTATTTGTAAAATTACTTTAATAAGAAAATTAATTCAAATAAAAAATGTTTTTAGTAAAATTACTTTAATAAGAAATTAATTCATTTAAGCTAAATTTATTTTGCATAAATGTAACTAATTTGAATTAATTTTCTTACGAGCTAGTTTTAAAAATATAATTAATACTTTTATTATAGGCATTAATTATATATATTCTTAATTTTTTCAAAAATATAAATTTTATTCACAAATAATATTTTGTATAAGTTCTATTTAAAATAAATAAATTTATTTCTTTAAATAGTTTATATTTTAATGTTATCACATATTTTGACTAAAATTAAGTTAAAATTTATTTTCTAACTTTTAAAATAAATTTCATTAAGCTTTTGCATAGATGTAAATTATGAAATAAATATCTTATTAGGTTAATTTTACTAAAATATGAAAAAAAAAATCTAAAGATATTTAATATTTTTTATTATAACTACTTACATAATAAATTAGAAACAAAAAAGAGTATTGTGGTTTACATAATTATATCAAAATACAAAGTAATTTGGAGTCTTAAATTGAACAGTAAATGTAAAAGTAAGTCTTATATTGATAATAACTTAAAATTGAAACCCTCAAATGAACAGATTTAAAATTCAGGCCTTATTGTGACACAATAACAAAAAGTCAAGCCTTACAATGAAATTTTCCCAAAATGAAAATTGGGAAATATGTGACTGGAATTAAATTGGAACAATTTTCTTTCTTTTCCTTTTTTTTTTCTCTTATGTGGAAAAAAAGTACTTGTTAAAAAGTTATATATGGAGGTTTTTAGTATTTTCTTAAAGTAAAGTGTGTTGTCAATTTGAGATTTACAATTACATATGTTTGTCCCATTCTTGTTGCGTTTTTCGTGTTTATTTTATCTTTCCTTTCCCCCCGTTTTATGTCGTTTTTTTAGTTTTTAGTCCGTCTCGTGTTTTATTATGTGTTTTTCTTTATTTTTAGTCCTTAGGTGTTTTCGTTTGTTTTTCCGGTTTTCTTTTGTGTTTTGTCGTTTTTGGTGTGTAGGTCGGGAGCTTTAAGCGAATTTTCTCTTTAAGAAAAATTGGTTTCGAGAGCATAATTAAATAGATGGGTTCGTTAGCTACGCGTAAGAAAAAAACGGAACTCAATTCCGAATTCAGACGAGCTCAAACGAGGCCAAAACGTAAGATGGTGCAGTGCAGCCCGGGTCGCGACCCGTGACTGCGCCCGCGACCCGCGACGTACCCCACGCCCAGCGCCCAGCGCGCGCGACTCGCAACCGAGCGTGTCGCGCCTCGCGAAAAAAAACAGAGACGCCCCGGCTCTGTGACCCTGCTGACTCGTGACTCGCGAGTTAACTTGCGAGTCGCGACTGGGTCGACCCTGTTTTTATTTTTGCTCGTTTTTACTCGTCTTAGTTTCGTTTTTTGAGCACTATATATCAAAACGATCCTTAGACTTGTGGGAACAATCTAAATAGTTGAGTGTTGAATATTGTCGAAGAGTGACACTTCGATTTGCAATTGATTTCCAATTGAATATGATTCGTTCTTGTGTGATGTGTTTAAATCCAACGAACTAGTAGATTAACAATCGTCTAGGATAATTAATCAAACTCTTATAACTAGAAAGAGTAGGAGTTGATCGATCTAGGCTCGCATAAAATAGACTTGTTCGGAAACGTATTGTCTATGTGTTGAGTGATTTGTGTGATTTACCGTCTATGTTATCCTCTTGTTATGAAGAGTTATTGAGGACTATCTCTAGACGTTAGGTTGATCGAATCATTTAACCGAATGATCTTAGCTTGATATTTGCATAGGTTAAAAAATCATCATCCCCGACTCCTTAGCTTCTTATCCTTTGATCTTCATCTTTGCTTTTAAGTTCGATTTTGCATTGTTTGAATTCGCTTTCGTAGTTGTAATTAAAAACCACTATCTTGATTAGAGTGTTTAGGATTTATTTTTCTTTTATGTGTTATCAAGACCATTCCTAGATTCTGAACCGTCTTCCTCGAGAGATCGACCCGGGGACGGTAAAAATATATTTTGCTACAACAACATAAATGATAAAATTGGATAAAAAGAGTTCCGTTTTATTCGTCATGTTAATATTTTCACATTTTTTTCTTTTCAATCTAATCGTAATGTTAAAAAAATCATTGCTATATGTTTATATTAAATTCAGGAATAATTGCTTTTTACATATTCATTTTATTAGTTATTACTTCTTATTTGTATAACACATCAACTTTAGTTATATATTATAATAGTTCTTTTATTTATCATGCACAACATTGTCAAAAGATTAACAACATACCCATAATTAAATTTAAATTTAAATAGTTGAGTATTTATTTGAATTCGAATTCATATACATATTGATTACTATACCAACTAGTACGTAACCCGTGCGATGCACGGGATGTAAAATTTGAAAGAATAATATAACCTCACATGCATTAGGATCGAAATTGAAATCATTAAAATACATAGGAACATTGTTGAATCATAAAAAGTTCGGTAACAATCAATATTACTAAAAACCTCCTTGTACACAACATTATGAGTTTGATTATTTGGTAATTCCTCATTATCACAAACTAATATTTTCAAAAGAGACAAATCCTAAAAATCAAACTAATATTTTTGGTGAACAAACTAATATTTTAGGATTGGTGAACAAACTAAAATTTTAGGATTTTTAGGATTTGTCTCTTTTTGGTGAACAAACTAATATTTTAGGATTGATTATATGAATAAGGCTACCTATTTTTAGTGTTCTTTTCATTCATTTTCATTCAAACAATCCGATGACTTATATAATGAAATCCGAATCTTAAGCCGAAATATTTAGAAAAAGAGTTTTTAAAAATTGAAAAGTCAAGGCAATCAGTTCAGATTAATCAAAGGTCAAAGAATATCCGCTCCTTGAAATAAAGACGTGTGTTATCATTAACCAAATATCCGATTATTGATATAGAGTGGTTACCAAAAAATAGAACGCGATAAGGACGCTTCATGGAAATATCAATGGGATAAGGTCATAACAGATCGCTATACATTTTAACGATAAAAGTTCAGATGAAATGATTTATGATAATTATGTCGTAATTAATGAATTAATTAGAAGTGTGAAAAGGACATAATTAATAAAAAGTGTGAAAAGGACATAATTAAGGAGAAGTGTGAAAATGACAAAAACTTACCAATTTTGGAAAATATTTAATCAAATCCGATATTGACCATAATTTGACCTACTATTTTGGATAAATGTTAATTTTTATTATATAAGTATAGATTCGAATTTTTCAAAAAAAAAAAAAAAAAAAAAATCAATTCTTTTATGACCCTAATCTCAATCTTGGATTGAATAAAAGGGGCTGAATCCAGTAACCTATACCTTGCCACTCAAAACAAACACAACAAGGACATTTAAAATGAACAAACATTACAAATATTAATATATTATTGAATGGTTCTCTATAGCTATGGACCGGGATCAAAATATTACACTGCCAACTAACACAGCCGTGAGAGGCACCGTCAAGTTGTCATCCAGCTCGGTGCTTAGAGGATGGGATTCAACTAATGTAGTAGCAATCGAGACAATTAAAAGCCCGAGCACCATTTTGGTGCTTTCTTCAATGTATCCAAGCCACGAAAAATAGAGCATGTATCTATTATAATGATTGGAATTAGCCCACGAAAAAAGGGGAAAAATATCGAGTTGTTTAGGGGATATAAACTTAACTAAAAAAATTCAATCAAAACTCAAATTTAATTCTAACTGTAACCCAATTTCACTATCTCAATATTATCAATATAATTAAATAATATTAATCAATCATCCATACACATCACATCAATTTTAATTCACTATCATCTATTCACATAATTTTAACTACCTATCACTTCCAATCATTTTTCTCCTACTTTTACATCAAATCAATTTTAATCAATTTATTTTAAATATTATATTAATAAAAACTCAAAATTCCACTCAAACATAACTCAATCACTTTTCAAAATTGACTATGGTTGACAGAAAAAGCTAATCAAAACCAAATCAAATCCATTGGTAAAGAATTATTACCCGATGGAAGCTAGGAAACCAGCACACGCCATTCCAATACTGCCAGCAAGTGATTTATTCGGATTGTAGGGAAGTTTTTTGTTACCAAAACGCCGGCCGATAACATCAGCCATGCCTGATGTATTTCAGAAAAATATTATTTATACCTTGTATAACAAAAATCGGGAAATTGCATGCTATCGTATGCTAAAAATGGAAGTAAAGAAATTTTGGAAAATTCGGGATTGCTTTAAGAAACAATACCATCACCGGCACATAGGTTGCAAACTGCAGCAATTGCTATTGGAGATGTTCTCCAGTAAATGGCACTGGCTAAAGTGATTGTGGAAGCATAGTACAAAGGCCCCTTAAGTAGCTCTCTGAACACCTTACAAGCAGTTCGCAACATTACACAAAAGTTTTTAACTTGACATAAGGAATGAGATGTTATGTGCATGTGGTTTCAAACTTTCAACCAACAATCACTTGTCTTAGAAGCTTCTAGAAGTGCTCCCGCCTATAATTACTGCACAAGTCTCGCTTAAACCATCACAACTTTACCGAGAAAGACTTGCTAGAAATTCAATACAGACACCATTACAATTTAAAATTCACTGTCATTTTACTAAACTAAACTGGGATGAGTAGAGAGAACTATTAAGATTGATATATTTCGAATTCGTGCATAAATTAGCCAAAAAATACCAGTTTTGGTTGTTCATCCACGAACACCACACAGACAAACAGCAGATTTTACCTATGATCTCCGGATCTGCTCATGGACTTGACAGTTGCATCATCTTTCCATATACCAAGTCCCAAAAGAAGCACTTTAATTATATTTATACCGGGAACGAGAGCAGCTAAAATGGCTCCCTGACGACCTGCACTGTAAAAGTTCGCCTGTAGCTCCCTTAGCAGCAGTAGTATGTTAACTATGTTAACAGAAGCAGTAAATTTAATCTAAAAAACAAAGTTATATTACCTGAACATAGGCCAGCAGAGCATGAAGGCCAATCCAAGAGTGATGTGGACAAGCTTCCTATTCAGTTTCTGAACACAAGAAAATCAAACATTGCACAGGGAACAAAAAGAAGTAGATTATAGTAAGGCCTTGATTAGAAGGTCCTACTTGTTCAACATATATACATACACATATATATATATATACTTTCAAACTATAAAATGTCATATTATAACAAATAACATAACAAAAAGTAGACATTTCATTACTGTGTATTTTAGGGAATCTCACACGAGAACTTGTGAATATCAGAAGATCAAAGAATATGAAAACCCAGTTCTTATTTTCATCACCAAATTCCAAAATTAGAACACATGTGAAGTAAATATTTTCATGAAAATAATTCTAGGAGAGAACCCAGACTAGTTATAGAAGGCACGTACAAAAAGGAAACAAAGAACACAAAGAAAATAAAAAATCAAAACGCCCAATCATTAAACACATCAATCGCCATTCCCAAGACAGATATCGATCACAATCAATAGACGAGTATAGTAAAATTTGGGAAAAAAATCGAGAGGCGGGAAAGTCAACCTGCTCAAAGACGCCTCTCTTAGCCGTCTCTTCCCAGATTTTCAGCAAAGTCAACGCAATCCCGCCGGACAAGCCAGTGGCGATGACATCGCTGACAAGCGTGCTCTCAGCGAACATGGCGGCTGCTGACGTCAGTTCGCGGCGGATCCTCCTCCTTGTCCTCGGATTAGACAGCTGAAGAAATTGCAGAGCAGGCACTCTGAGAGGGCAGCGGAAATTCGAGGTGAGATTTGAAGGAATGGAGAAGAAGGTGTAGCTCAAGGCCATAGTAGTTGCAGTGAAATTAATTTTTGTTAGCGCAGTAGAAATTGCGTGGGCACCATTTCCCAGTTAGAGAGTTAGGTGGAAGTATTCTTCAAACAAAAAATCGACATCTTATTTAGTTAGCTCATGACCTCGACTTCTTCGACAGTTTGCTTTTGGAGGCATCTCTATTGACATCGTATTTCGCAATAAATCTATACATATATATAATAAGAATTACCATTTAACAAAAATAGTAGCAAATAAATAGGAGAGAATTTAATGCAATCTATAAATAGTAAGTTTTATTATTTTTTTATTTTTATCTTTGAAAATTCATACAACATTTAATGTTGCATTAAATTTTTGGCTTTAATTCATTTTATTATTTAAAAATTCTAGCTAAGATCTATTAAGTGAGCATTTTTCATTTTTATTTTATTTTCTCATATAAACAACGAAGACATTAATATCTCAGTCTTTATATTTATAAAATCTCAATTGAAAAGGTAAAAAAAATTAGATTATCTGTCTTTATATTTATGCCTTTCAAAAAAAAATATTGAATGCTATTCGTTAAATATCATTTTTCACTAATCATCACAATTTTTTTATTTGGAACGTGTGATAATAAACTTGATAATGTTTATCACTTATTTGTTTACCAATCTATTGTTTTTTCTATACTCAGTTTCAAAAGGTAAAATAATTATCAAATTATCAGTCTCAATAATTGTGCATTTAAAAAAAATATATTTAATGATAATATATCATTTGTTAATAGTACACAATTTTAAAAACTCCATTAAAAATTGTATGTTGATATCCAAATCATTTTATAAATGCAATCGACTTTGTTAAATCTCCATGAAAATATGGTAAAACAAAATGAGAAAATCAACTTTGTATAGAAATGAAATAAAATCAATATGAAGTTCACAGGAAATTAATATAATGAATAATTTGTATAGTACACGGATCTAAAAAATAATACTCACGTGGATTCTAAAATTCAAACTCATACTTATCATTATGTTCTGTAAATTGAATAACATATTTTCGGTAAGATTTTTTTAAATAATTTTAGACATGTTTTATTTATAAAATAGTTTAGAAAGATTTTAGGTGACTTCACATCTTCAATAATGATATATAAAATTTTAGATACTTTACATACGTTATATAATATTTTAGGTGTTTTTAATAATTTAACATACATTTTTTATGTTATTTTATACAAGATAAATTTATATTGTTTACAACTGATATACGATAAATTATATCACATATTAACTCCACATCTTAATTACAATTATTAGTTAATATTGTTTACCTTCATATTTAATTTATAATTATTAGTTAATATTATTTACTGTCATCGTTAAATCATAATTATTATTTAATATTATTTACCCGTGCATCGCACGGGCTACACACTAGTATATTTATACAAGTGTTAATACATTAAGTAGTCAATGACTCCATAATATAAAAAAATTATTCGACGATTTTATAAAACTTTTGATTTATTCAAATAAAATTATCTCAATAGGACGATTTTTTTAAAAGGGAGAAGCTATCTTAAATAACTTTTAAAAATAAACTCTTGAACTAATTTTATAAAATATTTTGATTATATTATGTATCCATTAACTATAATCTTAAAATTACATTAATTATAATCTCAAAATTCACCTGTCTATAGCTTAATGTATGAATGAAGCGTTATGGTTTTCCTTTCCACTTTCCTTTGTGCGGAAAATCTCTCTCTCAATATTTAATTTTACTTATTATATATTGCTAACTGAATATAAATATTCAATTTTACTTATTAAATTTTACTTAATAAATTGTACCTAATAAATTATACCACATGGCAAACTATTTATACTCTAAAACCGTTACTTTTTAGTTTCTATTACTAATATATAATGTTTCTATTAACTTTGAACATATAGAATGATGTAATTTGTGTCATGTCGTTGTAATCTAACATGTAATAGTATGCAATTATTTATTTGTACATCAAATTTTGTGTATTTAAAAATTGTTAATTTTTGTTTTTGTTTGTTTTCTTTTTCTTTTTGAAGTTTTAATAATATACATTTCTATAAGTTTATCCAAGTACTTGGAATGTGCGATTAGAACTAATTGTGAGATTGTTATAATTTTTGAATAAAATATATCATATATAATAAAATATAATATTTTAATGATATCATCAACTATTTTCATAGGTTATATTTTAAAATTTATACATCTATATATATATAGTTGCTAGAAATACATTAAATAAAAACTCATAAATTTTACCTCATAAATTATACCTATGTGGCACTTAACTTTTCAAAAACTGATTCTGTTAATTAAAACAAAAATTATTACATTTTATATTAATTGAGTAATAATTATATTTACTTTATTGTATTATATAATAGTTATTATTAAAATTAATAATTATATTTTACACTAAATGATATATGAAAGTTAAATAAACACAAAAAATTATATTGTAAAACTTTTTGTTCAAGTTTTATTCCAAAATCAATATTATATGTTTTTGTCTGATTAAGCGATTGTGTTTTAAATAAATTAATTTATTTTAATATCGTAGTAAAATTCCTTCAAATTGATAAGCAATCGTTATAATAAATTTAATATTTTTAAATTATTTGGTCATTATCTATCAAAATTACAAAAATTACATTATTTATTACATTTTGTGTAATCAATATAGTGATTCATATGCAATCACATAGTTACATACTATTTATGTTAAAGAATGATCAAATTTTAAAGCATAATATCATTATCTAACTTATAATATTAATATTATATGCATAAATATAACTTATAATACTACATGTTTAAAATTTAATACCCTTATCTAACTTATAATTTTAATATTATATGCATATAAATCACTTATAATATTTTATTTATATTTGTGAAAATGCATAAAGTCGAATACTAGTTGGAGAATAAAAAGACAATTTAATGTTTAATTTTACTATAGCTTAGTTAAGGAATAGCACATATGCCAAGTTATAAATGTTAGTCTGTCTAATTTTTATTTAGATATATTTTATTATATTAGTTACGATTTGTTATAAGTTCATGTCAGACTGTCTAATAATTAGTTAATTATATTTTCTTGCAAAATATACACAATTTATTATTTTTTTAATAGAAAACACATTTATAATATAAAATATTATTACAATTATAGATGTTATTGTACGAGGGATTGTTTAACCACTAAACTAACTTCATCTAATAACCTAATAGCAGAATTATTACCGTTAAATGCCTGCCGGTGGTAATTTTATTATATATAAAAAAGAACAAAAATGATTTATTCCACACGAAGACTATTATCTTCTGAATTATATTTCATTATAACGTATACTTATCAAGTGATTTGAAAACCCAAAAGATAATTACAGAACTAATCACCAACCACGAATAAACTTGAAATTGGATTATATAAAGATTCTTTTCACTAACCATGAATAAACTTGAAAGGAAAATGCTACAAGTACATAATATTGTACATAAAAATGTACATAACACTCACATTAAATGAGTCTTACCAAAAATAAAAAATTATGTGAACCCCACTTCATGTGAGTGTTATATACACCTCCATGTACATTTATTATGTACTTGTAGCATTTTCCAACTTGAAATTGGACTTTATATAGATCCTTTTGAAAAGAGTTTCCAAATAAGTATTATTTATGCAGTACATAATACCTTATGGATTTGCTAGTTCTTGTGAAAGCTGAGTACATATTAGAGCAAGAATATTTATTGGGAAAACTCCATCACTTGCTGCAAAACAATATTACAAAACCTCTTACCTTAAAGTTACATGGATTAAGGTACTCCATGGAAAAGGGCAAATGGGAAAAGAAAATGATAACCGATGCAAAAACTGATGTTTTTCGAAGCTCTTATCCAACCCAAACAAAAAAAAAAGTTCCTTTCAGCAAGAGACTTGATATCCGGACAATGTGAAGCAAATACTTGACCAGATTTATCTCGGAGGGGGTGGTGGTGGAGGCATGTTAGCTTTTGCAAACCCAACCCATGCAACAATGCCGACAGCAAGGATAATCCACCCACATATGTCATACTTGAGATCACTACTTTTGCTCCTCTTTGTACTCTGCTGCTGTGGCAAATGCGAACAAACACGTTGTTGTTTAACCAAATACGAAGCAATTTTGGAAGAAAAAATAAACAATGTAACATGAAATGGGAAGGCAAAGTAGGACTTCTTAGGGCGCAATTGGATGTAAATAGAACTGGTCTTGATTGAATTTAATGGTTAAAGTGAGTTAATTTTGAATGAAGTTGATTGAGTGGAGATTATAGTTGGATTTTGAGTTTGCTTTTAAATAACATTTAAAATGTAATGATTAAGTTGATGTAGTGCAAAAATAGGAGAGATGTTATTGGAAATGATAGGTCGTTAAAAATGTGCGAGTGGATCAATGGTGGAACAGTGGACTAAAGTTTATGTAGTAATGTGTGAGGATGAGTGACTGGTACTATTTAATTATACTGATAATATAGTGATAATATTGAGGAAAATTGAATTGGATTAAATTTGAGTTAAAAAGTGTAAAAAAATTATTCGAAACTAGATAATTTATGCAGACAATCGCAACCTAATCATCACATTTTTTTCTTGTAAAAAGAAAGAATTCCCACCCTCGTGCTGGTAGACGATGAAGGCTCGGGCGCCATTGCCTGCTGACCCAAACCATGCTTGTGAATCTCCACGTGTAGCTGAGGAGCCTAGATATTAACACATGAAATAAGATACACTATGTTAGTCAACATAAGATGGTTACATTTGATACAAACACAATATATGTTGTCACAACCACAACGAGTGTACAAATTTTGTTTTACTAGATTGGAAGACAAAAAGAATAGTGAAAAAAAAAACGTCAAAGATATTCCAAGTCATACACAAAAAAAGAAACCAGCATGAAGAAATAAAAATCTGTAATAACAGTCAACTACATCCTTTTCTTCATTTCAAAGTGCTGTCATTGACAAAAATCATGCTGACATGACTTTGCTATAAGCCCGGCAAATTGCATAACTAAGGGCGTTTTGGATACAAATATATCCGCTCAAAATGAGTTTTTTTGGTTAACTAGAGTTAATTTTGAATAAAGTGAAATGGTTAGTTGTTAGTAGAATTTAATTTTATATTAAAATAATATTTAAAATAAATAATTAAAGTTGATTTGATGTAAAAGTATGAGAGGAATGATGTGAAGTGGCAGTTAAACTTATGAGTAGATGAATAGTAAATTAAAGTTGATGCGAAGTGTAAGAATGATTGTTTGGTATTATTTAATTGATTGATAATATTGAGAATAGTGGAGTGGAGTTAAAGTTAAGTTGGATTTTGAGTATGAATTTGAGTATGGATTGAGTTTTTTGGTATACAAACACAACTTAGGAGTTAAAGCAACAACTGATAAAGCAGAATCCTCATATTCAACATTGAAAATAAAAAAACTTTCCATCCTACATCAGGGTAGTTTTATAAGAACACTTCAGACCAACTTAACCAGTATAAAAACCTGCAGTATCTTCCAATCACCACTTGCACAATAGGGCTAGTCAACAATTACACATTAGCATGAAGTTCCAATTCCAAAATAAAAATAAATATTAAACGGACAATAATGTGATCATACTCCAACTTCAAGGAAAGTGGGGGAAAATAGTAAGTATAGAATGACTGTACCTTAGCAGATACTTCAAGTGATTTTTGATAATATTCATTTTTTGGTTCCTGCACAGGAAGAACAACCATTCACAAAGCAACTTAAGCACGAAAATTGGAAAACATCAAAGAAAGATCCTTATTTATTTGGTGTACCAATGCAACTGCTTGCTCAAAGTACTGGGCTGCCTTATCAAAGTGAACTTTAGCCTCATCAAAGTCGGGAATAAGAAATGCATTAGCTGTATATGCATTCCCAAGGCACCACAGAGCTTCGTGCTTTGCAGGATTAATAACAAGTGCCTCCTCTAGCTTGTCAATAGCATCTATAGAACATAACCAGCTAAATTTTCAATATGACACCCAAAGTTTTAATTTCGCAGTACCAAAATATACAATCCCAAAACATCATTCGATATGAAAATCAAGTCGAACCAGCCTAGCGTTGCACACTTGCACTTGCAGAGTCATATATCCATATTTCACCAAAACCCACGAAATTATTTTGCATTTAGTACAGATAAATCACATTTCTAGGCATAAAGGCCTGAATCCATATTATCAACTTCATCATCCTAAATCAGTAAACCTACCATAAGCTCCATAAGCACGAAAATGCATTCAAAATTCA